ACGCGAATCAACTCGACTAGATCATGCAAGAAATTGTAAGGAGCTGTAATAAGATGAGCATAAATCGTTTGACCGATGAAAAAACCTTACACGATTTACATTTCATCATTGATGATTTATATCTCATATCTAATGTCACACAAAGTCGAAGATGGATAGACGAAAACTAACAGGCTGACAAGAGAGGCAGGTCAGTGAAGATGGGACTTCAAGTGAATATAAGGAAGACAGAGGTGATGAAGATAGCACTCAACCAACAACAACAAACACCAATCACCATGAACGGTAGAAACATAGAGGAAGTAGTATCTTCCACCTGTGTAGACAGTATTGTTTGAATTCCAGGTGGCACAGATAAGGATGTCAAAGAGTGGATCGGAAAGACAACAAGACACGCACGCCTTCCTTCATTAATCTGTGGAGATCTACTACATTGCACTGCACTGTACTGCACTGCACTCAGCATAAAGCGTGAACAACACAACATCTGGATTTTCAACATTAATGTCAGTCGAGTAAGTCAGTGCTTCTGTGTGATGGTGATTGAGAAACTTGGCGCCTTACAAGGTGCATTTCCAACAAACTACAGAGATTCATCAACAGCTGTCACATATGCTCGCTCTATACTGAAGATCAGATCAGATGAGATGAGATGAGATGAGAAGGGAAGGTGAGAAAGACCAAACAAGCAGGAAGTCTGGACTATCAACGACCCAACGAAGCGAGAAGCTACCGTTCAACAAATGTGGAGAATAAGAGAGTGGAGATTGATTTGGCGTGGACTGAGACGACGGTTTGGGGGACATGACTTGCCATGGTATGCCATACCAGGTCGTTGAATGGAAGCTGGATGGGGAGGGACGAGTGAGTTAGGCGTGTGAGTGTGAGATGGAGGAGATGGTGTGGGTAGGGAATGAAAGGTTTTGGGCAGTCGTTGAGGTATGTGGAGAAGACTGTAGAGAAGAGAGTGAAGTGGAGACGTTGTACTGAAGCCATATGTTTCACAGGGAAGGAGGAACTCAATGGACAAATAATAATAATACCTTATTGTTGATTTGTGTTTATTGGCAAAGACTCAAAACTGTTCGTATCTATCGAAGGTCGGATAAGTTGGATGATAGATGGTTTGAAGTTTTTGTTCTTCTTGAAGTGGCACCAATTGCTATACCATTGAAGTAGTGCCATTGTATACTCACAATCCTACAAGAAATCCAGCCTACAGGTATCTTATCCCACAGTGAACACGTTTCTATTCAACCATCATCTTTTAATTAAATGGTTCATTTCAAAGAAATTCACTAACTGGTGCTTTGTAGTTTCTAGATGATCACAAGATGGTGTTCATCATACAGATTCTTAATTGATCTGTAAATAGTGTCAGTCTATGATTAATAATGTTTCAAAATCAATAAAATCGGTAGTTCTCAACAATAGAAAGATTAGATAAGGTAATAATAATAATATCCCTTAGTTTAAATGTTTGAAAAATAACTTAATAAAATGAGCTATTGTGCAAAGTCAATGTGTAAAACAGTTACGCATAGAATAAATTACATGCCTAATCTAACCTTCTTTTCAGACCTGTTTCCAAACAAACATTCTATATTCAATAGTATTTCTATTAAAAATTCCAATTATCATTCAAAGACTGTCCAGTACTCTCATATTTTCAATGGTTCTTCAATTGATATCAGTTAGTGATGAATACTACTATCTTAAACATAAGATGAAGTAGCCTAACCAAATACATCTGAGATAGAGTGTTCCTCAAAAACAAAAAACAAAAAAGGAGAAGAATCTCTGGTAGAGTTATCTATTTATCAAACTAAAAAATGAACGCGGTTTCGAATGTACAGCATGAATCAACACTGATTCTTTGTTTCCATCAACTCCTTCTACATATAGTTTAAGCATAAGTTGTTTGAACACTTCTCAGAAATCAATTACAACTATTTAGACTTTTCTTAACTGAGATAAATTTTTCCCCTATGAATAATTCATGCAAGTATAACGTAGAAATTTTATACGATTGGGAACAGACATCTCAAAAACTTAATCAATCAGCTGATTTCAATAATGTATACACTTATTATGATTATTGTTATTATTTTTCCCTTGGGTTCTTGATGGAATATAGGGCTTCAGTAGCGTCTGCATTGCACTCTCTTCTCTCCAGTCTTTTCAACTTGGCTCCATGACTGCTCATTTCTTCAACACACCATCTCCTCCATGTCACCCCTGCCTCAGACGCCCAACTCGTTCACTGGAGGGCCTGATGCGTGATGTCCCCAGTCGGCCTTCTCAATGTATGCCCAATCTATCTCCACTTTCTTTCAGTACATAGTTGTTAGGTGATAGGTTCCTGGTTGGTTCGTTCCCAGAGTTCCTTAATGTATACACATAAGTGGTAGTATTTCAGACCGTGAGGATAAATCATGATGTATGTAGTACAGAAGGGAAAATTGTGAAGTAACATCATATTAAGTATCATTTGATTATTTTGGCAGACTAGTATTTTATACTGGGTGATGACAGAACGTGAGACGAAAATCTGTACCACAGCCGGATTCGAACCAGCGGCCACCGGATTTCCTGCCCGATGCTATACCAACTCACCTACGAGGTCCGATTACTAACCACATTTTTATTTCAGTGACACGGGTCACAAATTCACACGGTAGTCGTTGGGAAAAACCCTTGGTAATTGAAGTGAAATGAAAATCTGACCAGCAGTAATTGGACATTGTAGCTCAGTTGGTAGAACGTTGGATCGGTAACCCGGTGATCGATGATTCGAATCCGGTTGCGGTTCAAATTTTTATTTCAACTTCAATCATCACCCAATATAACATAATATTCGTTTCTCAGGGGAAGATAATACATAAAATTAGTGGAGTAACTTCAGAAAACATAAAATACTGCAGTTCAAGATGTTACAGTCAGTAGTCACGCAATTTATTATTTGGAGGAAACCAGTGGGCAGTTGTGTTAACTTGTAAGAAAGTGTTGGGTATTTTTGCAAAGCGGCCACCAAGCTAGTAGATTTGCCGTAGCGGAGCAGCTGTTTCATCGTGCTTCTCAACAGCGCATACTCAAAAGTCGACGAAGGGTCTAACCCATGACTCATTGAATACACAAAATTAGTCAGTTGCTATTAATACGATATTAAAAGTATCGATAAAACAAAGAAAACAATAAGCTGACCACTTCAAAAAGCTTTTGAATCCACCACCGCCTGCAACCCGTCCAGAAATACCTACCACCAGCAACGGCAGAACTACCAGTGAACACAGGTCCACCAACAAAAGCAGAAGTCCTGAATGCCATAAAACTGCTGAAATACGGGAAAGCAGCAGGACCAGATGGAATTCTCCAGAAGCACTGAAGACATACGTAGAGATAACAGCAGCAGACAAGCTCACACCACTGCTGCAGAATGTTTGGAGGGAAGGAACGATACCTACCGATTAGAAAAAGGGCTACGTAGTCAAACTCCCGAAGAAGTGAGACATAAGTCATTGCAAGAACTGGCAAGGAATCATGCTGCTGTACACCCCAAGCGAAATATAAGTCCGCACCATCCTGGAGAGACTAAAGGGTGCGCTGGATTCAAAATTACGATGGCAACAGGCTGGCTAGCCTCACGAAGAACAAATCATATGCCGATCAAGTGGTAACGCTACGCATCATCATAGAACAGAGTATAGAATGGCAGTAAACTCTCCACCTCAACTTCATAGACTTTGACAGCGTTGACCGAGGAGTAAGTTGACAGTTGCTTCAACACTACGGAATACCACAAACCTTTATCAACCTCATTCAATAACTATATTAAGACGCCACATGCAAAGTGATCCACAATAGAAAGCTCAGCGATGTCTTTGAAGTGAAGGTAGGAGTAAGGTAAGGCTACCTACTATCACCAATGATCTTCCTGACTGTGGTCGAATGGATCATGCAGCAAACCGTGAGGAGCAAGAACATGAGCATACGCTATTTGACTGATGAAAAGACGCTAGAAGATTTGGATTTCGCAAATGATGACTTATGTTTAATGTCGCACAAACTCAAAGATCTACAGGCGAGAAACAACAAGTTGACAGAAGAAGAGCAGTGAAGACGAGACTTTAAGTGAATGTAGAGAAGACGGAAGTGATGAAGATAACCAACCAATACCACCAACAACAACAAGCACCAATCACTATTAACCGGGGAAACTTGAAGGAAGTAGTGTCTTTCATCTACCTATACAGAAAAGCAGCATCGTTCCAACGGCAGGCGACACACGCACAGACAAGGATGTCAAAACCAGGATCGGAAAGACAGTAAGACAGGCTTTCATTGATTTGAAATCAGTGTAGAGAACTACTTTACTCCACTCAGCACAAAGCGTGAACAACATCCGTATTTTCAACACCAATATCAGTCAAGTCAGTGCTTCTATGTGGTTCAGAAACTTGGAGCGTTGCGGAGAGCACTTTCAACAAACTAAGACATTCATTAACAGCAACCGCCTACACTCACTCTATACTGAAGATCAGATGAGAAGGCGAGAAAGAATAAGTAACAAGAGTTGGGTGTCCAAGGCGAGGATGATATGGAAGAGATGATATGAGGAAGAAATGAAAGCTTGTCGATAGTTGTGGCACCAGGTTAAAAAGACTGCAGAGGAGACAGTACAATGAAGACGTGCTATTAAAGCTGTATGTTTCATTAGGAATCCAAGGGAAAAACAGTCATAAAAAAGCATTCATGAATGTAACATGATAATACTTAGGTTCCTCACAATATATATATATATATATATATATATATATATATACATCAGAATACCTAGTCAGTCATACTGCTAAGTCTTATTTCTTGTAATAAAACATTTTAAATACAAAATAGAATGTCAAAACTGAGGTTAAACAACAAACATGTTAACATCCCTTCAACTATATATTTATAAGAGAGTATTATCAGTATAAATAAGTAATAAAAATTTATCAGTTTACCTTGTTCATATATTTGTTCACATAATAATTGATTATCAGTTGTATTAATTTGGTGCAATATTCTATCCTCAATATTTCTCACTATCTTTTGTGTTATAATTCCATTCATCATTATGATTAAACTTCTTTTTTCTAACTATTTATTGATGAAAATTTTAAGGATAAGGTGTAGTTTTACAGGAAATATACATTTCTCTCCAAAACTTATTTGTAATAGATGATTTCAACTCATTCAAGAAGAAAATTATTTCATTTATCCATAAATCATTTCTTCTTTAGTTGATATTGATGTAAATGTTCATGATATTTTAAAGAATTTATAAGACTTTTCACAACTGAAAAGATAATCAACTTCATTGTTTTTTTTGTCTTGAAACCTTTTTAAAAATAATGATCAATAATAATTCAATATTATTAGATGAATATATTTCCTTTTCAAATTTCAAATTACAACAATATATTCTTTGTAAATAAAATATTTATGAAATTTCTATCAATCTACAGTTATTCTCAATATATAAAAGTTACAAGGTAACCAATCAAAATTAAGTAAACACACAAAACCAACTGTAACATGTGCGAAAACTGACCAATAGAAAAAGAGAGTGAGACAAGGTCATTGGTAAGTAATTTGATTGGAGATTTTTCTTTTTCAATGATTTCCATACAATATTTACATATTCTTGAGTTATAAGAAATTATAAAGTATTTGAAGCGTACAATTTCCGCTCTTAACTAATAGTATTGTATATAATATTTCTTGTGAAGAAGTAAAAAATTTGAGAAAAAAAAGTTATCTTTATGACATGAAAAGTTTTTTCTCCCTATAATCTTTTTACCGCAAATAATTATCCAACTTCGTAATAAACAACTATAGATAATTACTTAGATATAAATGAAAACGATAGAAAGTTAAAAGAAAGTAAGAACAAACAAAATTTTCAGGATAAAATGAATTTTTGTTGTTCAATTTCACAAAATTTCAATAATCTGTAAAAAGACTGAAACTAAACAATTACGCTTCATAGTTTTACATCTATGCAGAGAAAAAAAGATCAAATGGAAAACAGTTTCCTGGAAACCAGTTACAAAAACAATTGCATAGCCATATGAATCATAAGAAACCTTCCGTAACCGATAATCACAACCAGTAGATGGATAATCCTGACACACTTTTTTTTATATCTTTTCATAATCAACAGAAACACGAAGATCTAACTCAGTAAGTCAGTCCCATAAGTGCTGATATCTTCAGTAGGTATAAGAAATATATATATATATATAAGTATAAGAAATTTATCTTCATTCATTGATACTTATAGTTTTTTGTTGCTATACTGAATCGATTCGGTCAACCTTTGCTGTCAGATGGGCTCCTGTATGGACGCCTTGATGCTGTCAAATATTCACTACGTTTTAGTTTACTTGATCGTTATCAGTGGAATCCATGATGAGCGTTTCGCCCTATTTCTGACTCGTCAGCTGTATGTACGTGCACTCCATTGAGTGATGTCATCCTCACTGAGGCTTGAGCCACATATCCACCGCTTGTGCAACAGATATCAGTTTTTATTCACTGACACTTTTAATTTTTCAGAGACTACAATTTAACGAATATTCATACAGTATTACGACATTCACATAGAAGCCGATCCACCAACATAAGTCGAGCAAAGGGAAATTACAACTTTCAGTCAATAACACTTGAGACAAGTTGCACAAGAGATGATTGTTGTGCCTAAATGACGAAGTTGACAAACCTTTGGCGTTTGAACCGATTCACAATGGGTTCGAGATTTGGTTGGGGGGGAGATGCAGATAAACCTAGCTGACGAGTCCTTATTGTCACGAAACGTGCGTCCTAGATTCCATCGATAGCCATCAGGTAGACTAACACCAAGTTTGTGCTACTGAAAACCAGTATTACTACTTGCAAGTTTTGTAAAATTCTATTCTTTCATTTCATTCCTTACAAAGCTTTTAAGACTCAGCTAATATTTACAATTGTTTTTCGTATATTGAATATTTCCATTTAGACATTTAGAAAAAAGACTGATAAATCGAGGAGATGTATTCCTTTTTAATGACGGTCTTCATCTTGGCCCCTACACTAATATGCATAGTTCTACAATTTAATCAAAATACTAATCAAGTGGTGGTGGGGGCGGAGGGTTGATAAACAATAATCATAGAGATTTTATGATGATAAGTTTTAGAAATAAAGGTATAACTAATCAATAAAGTAATTAAAAATTAGTAGTATATGAAGCAGGTTATTCTTAATGTAAATAGCGTGATTTATTTGTTTATCCTTCAGGTTCCTAGTGGAACATAAGGGTTCAGTAGCACGTCCCCATTTCACTCTCTTCTCTCTAGTCTTTCTAATCTGGATCCACGACTGCCTATAAGCTTTCATTTATTCCTCACACCTTTTCGTCCATGTCACCCCCTGACACCCAACTCGTGATTTCCCATTTCGCTTCCACTCGAAGACCTGGCCTAGCCTGATGCGTGATGTCCACAAATGGTCTCAGTCTATATCCAAACCAACTCATCTCAACTCACTTCTTCTGTATACTTGTTGGACGATAGCTTCATGCTTTGTTGGTTGGTTTGTTACCCGACAACACTTCCTCCTAGCTTATTCTTCCTCACATTCTCATCTCATCTCATCTTCAGTACCAAGTAAGCGTAGGTAGTAGTTGTTCATAAATGTCTGTAGTTTGTTGGAAATGCTTTTTGTTAGGCGCCAAGTCTCTTAACGATCATATACAAGCACTGACTGGAATGACTTAGTGTTGAAAATCCGCATCTTTTTCTTTATGCTGAGTATAGTGGATCTCCACACTGATTTCAGATAAATGAAGGTGTGTCTTGTTATCTTTCCTATGCTGGGTTTCACATCGTCATCTGTACCGCCGCCGCAGCTGCCTGTCGTTGAGACGATAGTGCGTAGGTAGGTAGATGAAAGAGATAACTTCATTAAGATTTCTCCCGTTCATGGTGATTGGTGCTTCTTGTTGTTGGTGGTGGCGGTTGGTATCTTCATTGCCTCTATCTTCTCTACCTTCACGTGCCTCGCATCCTCCGCCAACTTATTGGTTTTGCCTGTGGATCTTTGAGCTTGTGTGATACTAAACATAAATCGTTATGGGCCAAATCCAAATCGTGTAGGGTCTTTTCATCGGTCAAACAGTGCATGCCCATCTTCTTGCTCCCCACGGTTTGTTGCATGATCCAGTCGAGACCAGTCGATCACAATGAAGAAGATCATCGTTGATAACAGGCGGCCAACTTGTCTTACTTGTCAACCTGTCTTTATTTCAAAGGCGTCACTGAAATTTGCATTGTGAATCATTTGGCATATGGCATCGTCATAAATCTGTTGTATGAAGCTGATAAATGTTTGTGACACTGAAACCGTAGTGTTGAAACAGCTGCCAAATTACTTCTCGGTCGACGCGTCGATTCAAGGCATTTTTGGAAGTCGATAAATTTGAGGTAAGGAGTTAACTACCATTCTATGCTCTGTTCTATGGTGATGCCTAGCATAGCGTTTCAATTTGATCCTCACAAAGTAATACTGAAAGTTATATCTTGTTGACCGCCATGGTAATAAAATAAGTCGAACAAAGTGGTTTTGCACACACAAGTTTGGTTTGTGAAAGTGGATTGCAATCACCTCTGCTATTTGAAGTAAGCATAAGTGCATAATTCATGAGGTAAATTAATTGGATGATATTCAAAGCATTTCTAGTATCCACTTGATGTCTCGTGTCAACTAGGTATGGAAGTATCGAGCTGTTTATCGTTATTCTAATTTGTCCCTTACTCAACCATGATGGGTTCTGTTCAGAAATTCCAAGATGAATTTCCCTCACAGACGTTAATGTCTCCGGTGTCCGAACATCAAGCTTATTCAAAATAATAATAGTAATAAAAGTAATGTCTTTATTCCAAACAAGGATGGTTACAATGGAATAACCATAAGACTAGAATGAGTGCTTATCGGATGTAATAAGTAAAAAGTGATCGAAAATGTATTTTCCCCTTCACATAAGCTGCTTGCTGTATAATTCCTTCGAGCGGAAAGCCGAATTCATCTCAAAGTTATTCATTGTAGCGGCAACAAGTCTTGTTGACACGCTAACTGGGAAGTTTTAGCGAAAAACGTTTTACAAGTGCCTGAGGTTAAGCAGTTGGGCATAAACTGAAAATGAAAAAGTTATTTTGGTTATGAATGATGGATGGTAGCTAGGAGTGGAACGTCTCATCCTATTTAGGACTGACTGACTACATGTACCTGCGTCTTAATAAGTGATGTTCTCCCTACCAAGACTCGAACCTAAGGCCAAACTCCACGGCGTTATCAACTAGGCCACAGAATTGATCAGCCACTATTTGTATATGTTCCCCTGTTCTTATGCGTCCATATTGCCCATCCAACAGAAAGTGACTATAGTGGCTCAGTGGCTTAGTTGATAATTCTCTAGCGTTTGAAACGATCTATTCTGGGAACAACATCATTCACTGGAAGACAGGTACACTTGGCTGATGAGTTCCAATTAGTATGAAACTCACTTCTTAAAATCCATTGCCATTCACTCTCTATCTCTTGATATCGAGGGTAATATACTGACAATACTGATATACATCCTCACTGGAACCCATAGTGCCAATAGTTGTCGGTTATTTTCGTCCAATCATTGATAGGTAATTACAGTCTAGTATATCCCAGTTAAATTTGTTTTTATTTTAGAAGTACACCTTGAAGTGAAGAGATTGACTGATATGATTTCATGATGTAATGAAGTTTGGTAATCTAACAGTACACTTGGAGACTGTATGACACTGAAGTTATCAGGTTGAATCCTGCTATGACTCAAATTTTTGCTCGAAAACCGAATCAATTTAATCTTAAGTTATTTGCATTGGCTTATAAAAGATTTATATAGGCATCAGTCAAGTCAGTGTTTCTATATAGTGGATGAGAAGGTTGGCGCCTTACGGAAAGCATTTCCTTCCAATAAATTGCACACACACATCATCAACAGCTACCGCCTACACTCACTCTATACTGAAGATGAGATGAGACGAGAAGGTGAAAAAGCA